AACTTTATTTAAATTGTCTATTTAATTAAAGTTTGTCTTTTATTTATTGGATAATATGGTGTTGATAATTATTATAAGTTACAAACAAAGATATTTTCCTTTAAATAATGCATTATTTCAAAATATATTTTTGTAATCATATTGAATTAGAAACTATTTTACATATAAAAATATTGATTTAATTTTTAATCACTATTCGTTGATACAGAAACAAATGTTCATATGATGAATTGTAGAATTGGGTTTTTTTCGAAACTTTGTCATATAAAAATATTAAAAAAATACCACCCTTTGATATATTTTGTTTTAATTATTACCACACCTTTTTTAATTAAAAACTCATTAAATAACACAAATTATTAACAATAATTGTTAAAACGAATTCATTACTATTATTATTTAAATCCAAATACATTTGAATACGAGTATTCATGTATAAAAATTTAATAATAAAGAGCACCACAAAATTTTAGTACATTAGAAAATAGTCGTACAAGTTGTTTTATATTATTTTTCTTTATAAAGTCAGGTTATTATTTTTTCAAAACCCATTTTTTCCTGATTGTTTAGTCAAATTCTATAAGTGAAAAAACAATACAGATTTTTTAGTTTGTTTGATACTAAAATCACAAGTGTAAGACAATTTTCTTGCTGTACGACTATTTTCTGTTGGTCTTTAATTTATAAATGTTGTGACATGTTATTTAAAAATGATTACACACAAAAAATTTATTATCTATTATAATCACACTTGTGTTTATCAAGTGATTTAATATTAACACTTTCATAATTATCAATATGTAAAACATATATAAATATTTCCTAACAATAGTTATAAATGATTCAAAAAATAATCATTATAATTATATTCCAACAACAAATTAAACAATTAATTCTATCATCTATCTTCATTTTTAAGATTGGATAATTAAATATCAAAACTTTTCGTATTTTCATGTGTAAACAAGTAATTTAAGACCGGAACATAAAATACCACATTATTAATTTAGATCATTAAAACAGACAATTTTTAGAGTTAAAAACAATAAATTTGTTTATGTTCAGTATATTGTATCATATATAATAATAACTATTATGTGTAATAATATTTTTATAAAATTTAGAAACGAAGACTTTAAACAAAAATGACAAAAAACATTAATATTTGGTTATTTTAATTGATTTTAAAAATTGCTTTTTAATTATATACATTTTATTTATTAATTGATTGTGTTTT